AAAAAAAAAAAAAAAAGAAATAAAAACAGCAGAGTCCCACATATACCGGGCAGGACATGAGATGGATGGATGAGCATTGGTTATTTACAGGGCTGCAGCAAAAGGCCTCGGCCACTCTGGGCCACAGCGGAGGCTGCCCCCTGGCAAAGGCCACTTTTCAAGGAGCTGACGGTGGGTCAGTGGCAAAGGGCAATGGTTTCCATGTTAAGGAAGCGGACGTGCATCTTGGTCTCGATGTCGATCCCCTGCCAGATCTGGAATGGATGGAGGGAGGAGCGTTATAGGCATCCCCACCTCCTGCCTGCTGCCTGCCCAGGCCCAGTCCTCCGCCATCTCCCCACCCGCCCACGCGCCCTCCTCTGCCACCGGCTGAGACACTAAGCAGGTGAAAACCAGGGGGCTGTGTTTCAAGACGATGAGCTAAGCGAGGAAGAAAAACTCCCATCTGTCTCTCTGCTGATGAATTTGGCTGTGACATTTGGATTCTTCCTGAGATTGTCACAGCACGTTATGATTAAGCCCTGAATCCAAGCTCTGATCAAGGCCTTTCAGTCTCACCACCACAGGCTCTGATACTCATGCAGATTCCATCTCCCCATGAAGCCCCCTTTTACCAGCAGTGTGGGGACCACCCCACTGTGCCGCCAGCGCTTTGGTGACCCAGATGGCATCTCACGCACCCACAGAGGCAGCCTGTAAGCTGGTTGGGGCTCTGCAGGGGTGAGGCTTCCTTAGGCCATCATTGTGAATTAAAAGGACATTTGTGATAAACTTCTGGGGTAAGAGATCACCTGTGTTTAGACAAACTAGTATGGGAAAGGTCATTTGTACCCAAGAAACTAGTCCATGGCCACCTACCTGATGCAACTGTTCAGTGCATTCTGGTCCAGGGGGACATTTAGGCTACACAAGGCTATTGTAGCACAAAGCACCATCACTCCCAGGACCATGCTGTCTGTCTCCTTGGCAACGTGGGGCCCGGGATGGGAGCCAGAGATGGGAGACTCATGCAAGCACTGCACTCTGCAGCTGTCACTCTCCGTGCCTCTCCAGGCACAGCCATAGGCTGGGCACCCAGAGACAGGGTGGCCCGGGGGGCCTTTCTTGCCATGTCACTGGCCAGTCCCCCAGGGGCTCCCTGGCCTCCTGCTCCTTCCAGGCTGCTGTGAGGGACACAGAGAAAAAGCCACTTCCAGCTAAGCAGCTCCAACCCATGTGGTGGACAGGATAGGATGCCCTCGGGCAGAGGTACCTGAACCCCAGGGTGGCTTCCATTAAGTGCTGAGTGGCAGCACCGCTGCTAAGGACACTGGAAGGGACCAGGGGTCAGAGGGGCTGGCTTGCCATGAAGGAGGACACAGTTACAGGGACAGGCCTGAGGAGCCTCCAGGGAAAGCCACTGGTTTCTGAGCAGAGGAAATTCCCCTTGAGTTCTGGCCCAAAGTGGGAGGGGAGGGGCTCCCCTCAACCCTCCTGGCCCCTGTGGTCTTCTAACTCCTGATCCTAATGCCCTGCTCAGGTGTCACTTCCCTGGGAAGCAGGTCTCCACCAGCCATAATCCATCACCCAGCACAGCCTGCATCCGCCCTGCCTGGCCCTGGGTTGGGGCATCTGCACAGAACAAGGGTGACTGTGCCCTCTGGTGCAGCTGCCCCTCCTGGACTTCCCTTCATGGCTGGATCAATGCTACCTGCCCTGCCGTGGGCCCGCGTGTTGGCAGGCGACTGGCCCAGTCCGAAGTGCAGACTTGGAGCACAGCCCCTGGCCCTGGCTCCCTTGGACCCCCCAAGGTCCCAGCCCCCCTCGTCTTCCTCAGTTCCCTCCATCGCCATGGAGACACTGTTCGGGGGGGGGGATGTTGCGGGCCAGTGCTGTGTGCACGAAGCAGGCAGGTCCTTCTGCCTCCCGACATCCTGCCAGGCAGCCAGTCCTGACTCCCAGCCCTGAGCATGTTTGTAGCAGCAAAGGTCGGCATGAGACTAAACGCCCATGACGGGCTGGGAGGGCAGAGGGATGTGTGGGTGGCATCAAGGCAGCGGGAACCAGAGGCACAGCGTGCCCTGGAACACGGTGTGTCCAGGCACAGGAGGCTCCAGAGCCCCCACTCGCTCCTGGGAACAATGGACTTCCATGCTCCACCCTGTGTACTGCTTAAGTCGCCCTGACCATGTACAAATATTGTTCTTTTGATAAAAATAAGTGAAACCAGTTAACATTGTTTCAAGGACCTTCGTACTGAAAGCGTCGTGCCAGTCACTCGGTATGTACATGGTGGCTGCGGTGAAGAGCCACAGCTCCGGAAGGTCGTGAGGTGCCCCTGGAGCTCCCACACTCAGGCCCTCATCTCCTCCCAGTACCCACCTTCAGGAAGTCCTCAAAGGTGATCCCCTCGTACACTTGATCTGGCTCCTGTGGGGAGAGCACAGGGCACAGTGGGTGGCCGGCCTCACCCAGTTCCTGCATCACCACCCATCCCGTCCCCACAGCCAGTGCGCACAGAGTTGGGGCTGTTTAGTCATCGAAGCCAGTCACCCTGGACCCCAACATCCTGCTTGGGGCTGCCATCAGCTCACCAGGGCCCCTCTTCCCCACACAGCCCCACCTGCCCCCAAAGCCTGGCCACCCAGACACCTCCTGTCATCCCTGGGTCCCCCCACTGATAAGAACTATTCTAGGCTGATCGGTGCTCACAGACCACTGGGGCAATGGGCAAAGGAACACAGAACTGACACCTGGGACCCAGCCGCACGATGCCAGTCACCACGATAACATCCAGACACAGAGAGGTGGCCCACCTCCCACCTCAGAGCACACTGGTAGCAGTCTCCCATCTGTGTCCTTCCCACTCCGGGGCACTGGGATGACAGTATCTCCTGTCCCTTTCACCGGTGCTCTTGGGCTGTGGGCTAAACCATGTCTCTAAAAACTCAGCTGGAAGTGCCTCGTGACTGAATGCCCAGCCGACAGCCCAGGTGCCCATCACCAGTGGGCTGGTCAGTAAATCTGCACTGTTCACACCGTGGGTTACCACATGGCCATTGAGAGGGGGTTGCCCTACACGTGCCACTGGAAGAGGCTCAGACACGCGCAGAGTGGAAAAGAACAGAACACCGACGAGGCGGTATCTGCAGATGCGTGTATGCATCCACCGCACAGGAGTACACGGAAGGGAAGCCTCAACTAGTCAGCTCCATTTTGTACACACCCAAGTGGGGCCCAGGGTGGACCTCGGTGGTCGTGCACATGCCTAGAATGCACAAGGACCCGAGTTCTATCCCAGCACCACGAACAGAAACAACACATCAGGCCAGGTGTGGTGGTGTGCGGCTGTCACCCCAGCTACGCAGGAGGCTGAAGCGGGATAATTGGGAGTTCCAAGGCCAGCCCAGGCAACTTAGTAAATCCTGTCTCAAATGAAGAAGAGCTGGGGATGTAGCTCCGTGCTAAGTGCTTGCCTAGCACACACAGGACCCTGGATTCCACCCCCAGTACTGCACACGCACATGCCCGTCACGTGGAATATGTGGGCATCTGCAGGGATTCCCCATCCTCCGTGGCTCCCTGCAAGAGGGGCCTGGTGTGGTTAGGGCAAAGGGCAAGGAGCATCTCGGTCTCTGCACCTCTTTGAAATCCTGCATGGCACAAATCTAAGAGAGTGACAGTTGGCTCCAAGTATCCCTGTGACCAGCAGGTGACAATGAAGAGTGGTACTGCCACCCTCTCAGCGGCCAGCAGGCCTCTGCCCTTGCTCCCTCGCTGTAGATAACCGACACCAAGGCCAGGCCACTCACCCTGCCCGGCAAAGCAGCTCTGGCCAAGCCCATGATGGCTTCTGCTGCTGGGCAGGGTTTTGCACCCTTTTGGGCTTCTTCATTCTTTAAAATGTTTTATAAAAACCACCAATTATTGGGCTGGGGATTTAGCTCAGTGGTTCCGCCACCTGCCTTGTAAGCACAGGACCTGAGTTCTATTCCCAGTACAAAAAAAAAGAATCTTAGAGATCTAACACCAATTCTCTGCTTTCCTGGTCCAGCCATGTCCTGGGTGGGGGTGGGATCCCTGTTCTTCCCCCTCATGGCCCAAAATGTGACCACCCTTTCCTGGGGTACCCGGGCGGGCAAAGGGGAGCCAATGATAGACCAGGCCCTGCTCCCTAGAGAGCAGGGCAGAGGGTGGGTGCCCTCATGGAGGGCAATGCCCAGGCCGCACCCCCCCAGTCTCCAGGTCGTTACACAGAGCATCAGTCCCACCCGGTCAGGCACCAGCAGTGGAGTCCCCTGACACGGAGAGCAGATGTCTGCCTTTGACGACGCGTGGTGAGAAATGTTAAGTGTTAGGGCCGGGGACTTAGCTCAGTGGTTCCGCCACCTATCTTGCAAGCACAAGGTCCCGAGTTCGATCCCCGATACCAATAAAGAGAAAGAAATGTTAATTGTCCTCAGAGGCCAGGTGGTATTGAGCGTCCGCGTCCACTGCTGCCCTCAGCTTGGCCTGTGGTTTATGCAGAATATAATTAAACGTGCAGAGGGAGCATAGGGACCTGAGCAGGTCTCTGCCCTGCCAGGAGCCCCCTGCACAGACCCGGGACACCAGGCCTCGGCCCTGGGACTTCCAGCTTGAGGCTGTCCGGATTTCATGCAGATCAGCAGGTGCCAGTTGCCAACAATTTTACTACCCCAAATTAAGAAAACTCACCAAGTGCCACCGGAGTGGGACGGGAGCAACTTAAAGGCCAGTGCAATGAAGTCAAATGGGAATGGGGATCCCTGCTGGCCCTTCCCGAGGGGGTCTGCTTGCTGAGTGGGGTGGTCTCGCCAAAGCCAGAAGCCTGCCTCCAGGCCCCAGCAGCAGACAGATAAAACACTATGGGTGCTAAGAGGACAGCGGCACTGCACCCCTGGGGCAGCGACAGGCCAGGGACAAACTGTAGGACCCTGCGTGAGCCTCCACCACTGGGCTGGCTCTGCCCAGACACCGCCACTTTTCCACATGCAGTACAAGGGAGAACCTCGGCAGAACCAAGTCCCTCAAAAGGGCCATCTGCCACGGTCCCCAAGGGCTGGGGCGCAGCCAGCACAAGATGACAACCCCCACAAAAGTCCTTGTGCCCACTGAGCCTGTTTGCCCACAGACAAAATGAGGCTAAGGATTTATAGGAAGGTACACACACAAGGGCTGAGCCCCTCGTTTCATCAGCACAGCAACCACAACCTCTCCCCAGGCCAAGGAGAGGCCCAAGGAGTCCTACCCTCAGGGACAAAGGTCACCCAAGTCACTTGTGCCATTCATCAAGAAAATGATGGGGAAAAAGAAAATGATGGATCCAGGTAACGGGGCCTAGCTCTGTGCATGCCTGACAGACAGTGAGGCCACACAGGGACTTTCTGAACCCCAAAGCCTGCACTCTACTCTTCATAGGTTGGGACCTATGGTCTCCCAGGGACAGGAAAAGCTGGCTTCTGAGCTCTGCTGTGAGCCAGGCCCATCACAGTACTGAGTAGGACTCAGTGCCCACTGAGGCCCTTGGGAAACAGACCTCAGGCAGGGAAGAGCGCTCCAAGGTGGAGGGTTCCCTCTCCTAACCCCAGGGGGTGCTCACCATCTGCCCCACGCACACACTAGCTGCCTCCATCATGGCTCCGTCAGCGATGGAGCGCGCAGACTCCTTCTCGATGTGGGGGTTTCCAGAGAGCAGTTCCTCCACCACCTGCCAGGTGACACAATGGTGACCTTGGGCCTCTGTCAAGGTCAAAGGGTGGGGAGGCACCTGGAGCCCAGGGTGGGGAGCAGGAGCATACTTTACATTTCGATATTCTTCCAGAGTGATGCGGCCGTCGCTGTCCGAGTCGTACATGTGGAACAGAACTGGGGGTGACAAGAGAGACGGGGGCTCAGTCAGGCGAGTGGAGCTGGGTTCCTGCTCCCCAGCTTCCCCACTCTGAAATACACAGCCAACTGAGCACCAGACACTGATGAGGAACCCGGCTACCAAAGCCTTGGGGAGCAAGGGCGTAGGCCATGGGGCCAACTGACTGCTTCCTAATGGATGATCTCCATCCTGGGCAAGTGACTTAACTCCCCTGAGCCTGAGCTCCCACCTGCAACATGGCGGCAACAGCGTCTACCTCGTGGTCTGGCAAGGGCTGGGGGAGGCGGCTCTGGACCTCCTGTCACTCTGAGCACGAGTGATGACGACCGCGAGTCTCACTCACACGAAACCAAACAGGTCCCGGCCCCACTGCCCACATCCTGGTCCTGGGCTGCTCCGAGGACCCCCAGTGTCCGCAGCCCTCCCTGTCGGTCACACCCCTCGTCTCTGAGGACATTGCAGTCAGGGCTGCTGAGAGTCACTTCACAGGCCGGCCGGCGGGCCCCACACAAGTTGCTTATTCATGGCCACCTCGTTAAAGGGCAGCAAAACGGGCCTGGAGCTGTCTCTGATTCCTCAGCCGCCACCCAGGCCTCGGCGCAAATGGAAAGCCGGTGACACAGAGCGCTGGCCCGGTCACAGACACTCAGGAGGCCCCGCACACTGCCCGTGGTTCCTACCCGCCCCACGTACACATTCCAGAGCTAAAGATAGCCGGGCACCCATGTGGACGTTTTCCTGACCGGGAGACCGAGGCCAGGGGGCGTAGAGAGGGATGTGGGAAGTCGTGGGAAAGTGCACAGGGGAAACGGAGTCCTAATTCGGGCACCGCTGGGCCTGTATGGCTAGCTGGCCAGGACCGACGGAACGCGCTCCAGAGCCTGCAAACTGCAGCAGCTTCCCCAGAACCGAGGCCAGCACAGTACCCTACTCCGGGGTGGAGGAGCCTAACTTCAGAAGGCACTGGCCCTGCTCAGGGGCCACCACATCCAGGCTCTGGGTCACACACTACTGGGCTGTTCATGATGAGGCCACCACGTGCAACCTAGGAGGGGACACACCCACCAGCGCCACCTTGACGCCTCCTTCCATCCCCTGCACGGCCCAGCCCCCTCCCTGCTGCAGGGAGCCCCTGTTCTGAGGACCTGGGGGCACGCACATCTCAGCTTCTCCTTCCGGGACAGCTCCACCTGCTCCTCGCCCAGGGTGGTGTCGATGGGCCGGAAGTAGGACATGATGGTCAGGAAGTCTTCAAAGTTGATCTCATCTGCCAGGCCAGTGGGCCCCTTGCGGAGGTTCCTACGGGAGCAGCGAGGGGACACTGTTTAGCAGTTGAAAACTAGCCCATGTCCCCCTGCACCAACAGCTCTCGGGAACTCTGCTCTCCTGGGCCCACATGGGGAACAGGCTCACGTCCTGAGGACCCCTCTGTGGCGCGTGGCCTCATAGAGGCGGCAGGAATAAAAAGCCCAGTCCCACCCTGCACACAGAGCTTCTGATGGATGCAGGGAGGGAAAGGCACTCACATACCTGTGTCGAGGGCTGGGACAGAGGGATATATGGGGGGATTAAGGTGCTGAGATAGGCACTCATATTTGGGGAAACGGAGGCACAACCCATCTCCTGAACCTGTAACTCGAGGATCTGAAAATTACAGCCCAGGGCCTACCACCTATTTCTGTTACTTTATTTTTAATTGGGTGGGGGGAGTACCAAGGATCGAACTCTATCAGGCACAGTGCCACTGAGCTAAATACCCAGCCACTTTCTTTTTAATTTTGAGACATGGTTTCACTAAGTTGCCCAGGCTGGGCTTGAACTTAGGATTGTTCTGCCTTAGCCTTTCAGAGTGCTAGGATTTTAAATTGTTGAAAAAAATGCACATCAAAATAAAACCAGGCACAGTGACACATGCCTGGAATCCCAGTGACAACTCACTGTGAAAACTGCAGATCTTCAGACTACACACTACCCCCCAGGTGCCACCCAGCAGCTCTGGCCCAAGCTTAGGGGTCTGCAAGATGCCCCTTGCTGGCTTCTGTCACCCTCGTCCATACCTACGGCTCACAGGTGCCAGAGGGACCTCTGTAAAGAGCAATGGTTCACCCCAACTGAATGCATCAGTGCCCCATGGCTGTTGCTAGGTTATGGGGACCTTACTTGATAGACACTACATGCCGGCTCTGCCCCACATGTCACCATGCCTGGACTCTCTGTGCTCCAACTCAGTTTCTTCTGTCACCCTGGCTTTCTGAGAACCACAGGGCCTTTGCATATGGCCTGGACCACCCCCTCCAACTTCTTTGCTGGTTTACTCTTGGGTCACTGTCCTCAGAGAGGCCATGGAGGGAGACCCTCTGCATCTTTTGGTGTAACCTAAGCCCCCAAGTGAGACTCAGGGAGATTCCCGTCTTGCCTCAGGTTCCAGGGCCTGGCAGAACCCAAGTTGGGTGAAAGACACTACGGGATTCAGACTCAGCAGGGAAGTCCCATAGCCTTGTCACCATAACACACCTCTGATCCCCTCCTTCCTCTCTCTGCTTGTCCTGCTTTTCTGTGATCTGTGCCATGGGACATCAGAGCGAGTGGTGACCACCTGCAGTGCCTCGCCACACACCCTGGCAGCCGGGGGGCACAGCGCGCTAACGCTCCATCTGGCACTGGCAGAGGATATGCCTCTCTCTGCACTCACCCAGCACCCTCAAGGCAAGTCCACATCTTCCAGATGAGGAAACAGGGGCCGCCAAGAGGGCCGCCAACAGACCTGGCCTCCTGAGACCTGTGCCCCTTGATGTCCCCTCTCCCAGTGTGCGCTGGATTAGCAGCTCACTTCTAATGGGACAGAGAAAATTGGGCACATTCTTGAGGTCCGGCATTCCCTGCCCTCCCTGGGGAAGCCAGGACCCTGGAGCAGCCCTGCAGAGTGCACCCGATGCCCCCAGCCACATGAGCAACCTTGGCAGCAGAGCCTCCCTGGATCGATCTTGAGGTGACACCTCAGCCCAGCAGATGCCATGGCTAAAGCTGGTACGAGACCCTGTGCTAATAACATGCACTCAGATTCCCAGCCCACAGCAATGACGAGATAATAACTATTAAGTGTGGGGCTAAGGTGCAGTTCAACGGCAGAACATCCACTTAACACACATGAGGCCTGGGTTCCATCCCCAGAACCCTCCCCTCCAAAACCACAAAACAAAAGAAAAACCAGCAAATTTAGGCTCATTCGTTACACAGCCAGAGCTAACCGATATAGAAACCCAGAGATGCTGAGTGACCTGCCTGAAGTCACCCAGCTGTGAATCCAGAACAGTCTGATTCCAAACCCAATGGCCCCAGGGCTGCTCTGAGCACAAGGTGCAGCTCACAGAGGACAAGGTGGCCAGCCTGGGAGACAGCTTACCTGTTGTCGAAGAAGGCACGCACGATTTTGGAACGGATTGGGTTGAGCTCCAGGTCAGGAACGTTGTTGAAGTTCTCTTTGCTGGGTTTCAAGAAGGAGGGAGAGACCAGGAAGAGGACAAGAGAGAGCAGGTGTCGGGTGTTTCCATCACAGGTCAGGCTGCGGTTGGTATCCCTGACAGGTCCCCGGAAACAGTCCGGAGGGACCCACTGTGGGCAGCCCACTCCTCCTCTCGCCTTCAGTGGGCAGGAGTAGAGAGGACCCGGGGACTCCAGATCCCTCGGAGAACCCGAGAGACGGACTGCATGCCCCCAGCAACGAGCAGAGGCGGGGCCGTGCACAGCCTCAGCCCACAGCTTTGAACAACAGTCTGCCACACCCGGTCATGTGACCTGGCCACATCCATCTCAGGGGTGAGCCCAGCAGAACAGAACGCCTGACCCTGAACTCAAGAGCGACATTCTTCACAGCCCAGACCTCGGCAGACTAACAGTAACAGGCGGTGGTCAGTTGGTATAGTGGAATACAACTCAGCTGCGAACAGGAACGAGGCACTGGCCCTGCTACAACCCAGAGCAGCCTTGGAGACTCATCACTGTGACAGAGCCGGTCACCAAGGGTCACGGCGTCTGACTCCTCTTACATGCAGAGAAGGCAGAAGAGCACCTATCAGGGGCTCGGGAGCCCGAGGCCCAGCAGGGCCAGCCCCTGCCCCGCACCAGTATCCTGTCCCTCCCTTGGGGCTGAGCTGCCTGGTGGGACCTGGCCAAAGCAGAGAGCCATCATCAGTGCCCAGTGGTGACTCAGGTTTCCACGAGCCCAGTTCTGAAGAAGCAGGCAGAGGCAGGATGGTTACCTGGTGTGATGGAAAGTTACGAGACCCTAAGAAATCATGGAAATCTTTTGGCCATGAAAAGGAAGTAAGCTGGGGAGGGGGGCAAGCACCTGTGGTCTCAGCTACTTGGGTGGCTGAGGCAGGCAGATTACTTGAGCCCAGAAATTCAAGATCAGCCTGGGTAACACAGCAAGAACCTACCTTGGACAAACACAAAAGAATGACAAGCTGAAGGATGAAACACTGCCACCTGCCGCTACACGGACAAACCCCCAAATCACTGTGCGAGGGACAGAAGCCAGGCACAGAGGCTGCCTGACATACATGACTGCGCTGCTGTGGGGCAGCGCAGACCCGAGAACACACCGACGCAAGGGCCGGGAGCGGTGCAGAGGGGTGGTGGGTCCAGCTCACGGTGCTCTGAAACTGACTGTAACTGCACAGGGTGAGCTCTGGCTCCGGAAAGCCACTAGGCCTCTGCCCCATGGCGGCCTTCACTCAGAAACAAGGAGCGTGCAGGAGGCCACGGCCGGGGCTGGGTAATGGTTAACTGCAGAGCCACCGCACCGCGCTGGACTGCCGGCGTGAGCGCAAGAGGAGAGAGACCAGGGGGCTGAGAAAGAACGAGTCTGGTCAGCAGGAACAGTCAGGCTCTGCAACCCATGACCGCATTTCAGACAGCAGCTCACCCGAGCGAGCAGTGCCAGGCATCCTATCCCAGGGACAAAGACGTGACCAAGACAGCAGCTAGCCTGCCACGCACTCTTCTACGAGTTTTGCCAGCTCACACCACGTAACCACAGCCACATGAGGTAGGCGTTTACACCCATTTTAAAATGGAGAGGGCCGGGGATTTAGCTCAGCGGTTCGGTGGCCTGCCTTGCAAACGCAAGGACCCGAGTTCAATCCCCGGTACCAAAAAAAAAAGATGGAGAAACTGAGGCAGAGGTAAAGAACTTCTTCCTGCTGAGAACGGTACTGACCCACTCATTCATAGTGGAGCTAGCAGACAGCTGAGGTCTTGCTCTCTGGTCCTCAGGGACACCCCAACACCTGCAGCCCCCCTTTCCAACAAGGAGAACACAGCAGGAGCCAGGGCCATGACGCCTGTTTCCATCTCACGCCGGTACTCACTGGGCTGGTCTAACTGGCTCAGCTGCAGGAGTCCAGCATGGGGATGCAGGGACAGGCTCTACATCCCTTGGGGCTGGGGCTAGAGCCCACACACAGGGACCCAAGGCCTGGTGCCACCACCTCAGTGATCATCGGGCCAGGGCATCTCCTGTGAGGGTGCCAGGGTCGCACAGCTGCCATGCCTCCTCCAGGGAAGCCGAGGGGTTTCTTTGGGTGGAGGGCTACCGGGAATTGAACCCAGGACCTTCACACTGAGCTACATTCCAGCCCTTTTTAAACTTTTTATTTGGAAACAGTGAGACGCTGTTGCCAAGTCAAATTGCTCAGGCTAGCCTTGAACTTACAGTCCTCCTGCCTCAGCCTCCTGGAGTGCTGGGATTAGAGGAGGGCATCACCATACCCAGCTGCCCTTGGGGTTTTACAGTATCTCCCTCAAGTCCCTAAGGGCTCTCACCATGCCAGGCTAGGTCCATCACACCTACCCACCAGGAGCAGCAATAACAGCCCCATTTAGAGGCAAGACCTCCAGCATGGCCCAGAGGCAAAGTGAATGAGCCAGTCACACAGGAGCAGAAGGGCTCAGCCATCCAGGCCCTTCTTCCCCACGCCACTTCCTTTGCAGGCTGCATGTGACTTGAGAGAAGACGGCATCTCTACACAGAACATCTGCTCCCGCCCAGCTCCCAGCCCGGGAGGCCCATCCGGGACCCAGGGAGATGGCAGAACAAGCGTCCGGCCACAAGGGAAGGACAAGAAAACAAAACCGCCAGGGGCTGCCTGGCCGCTTCCTCAGCGGCATGGTGTGGGCTGGCTTCCGGTGGCTGAGGCCAGCTCCTCTGCGCAGGCTGGGGCTTGTGCTGATCCCTCAGCCGGACAGTGCTCAGCACCTCCTCGCTCCTGGGCCAGGACCCCATCGGGGAAGCCACCGTCCTACACTTCCTGCTTCACACTTGATGTTTCTCACTGGGAAAACGAAAACTGCAGGGACGGTACCTCGTCTGGCCTGTGTCTTCCCGGGCAATGCTGAACTACTCAAACAGGGACGAATGACCAAAGCTGGCGACAGTGGCAGCTCAGTGGGGTGGGGCCGGGGGGACAAACAGCAGATCCTGGAGTCCCAGAGGGAGGAACAGCAGGGCTGGCAGGTAGACCAGAGGCAGGCAAGAGAGAAGGGGACACCAAGGGTAACCACAGGGCAGCTGCTCCTCCCGCGACTGAGAGGACACATGGCAGGGCTCTGAGGGCACACTCTGGGTCATGTGCAGTGTGACAGCCTTTGGGACCTCGAGCAGATGGCCCCGGCTGGGTGGGCATGGAGACTGGGGAAGCCCAGGCAGAGGCAGGACCAGAGCGCATGGGTGTTTGCCACCCAGGACAGGAACCTCATCAGATGGCCCCGTGACCTCCTCCCGCCCTCTGCGCCTCACACACCATTCTCCTCTCCCTTCTTGCCTCAGTTCTGGGCCTTCCAGGCACCTTCCCGGATCTCCGACCCCACGGGCCCAAGGGAAGCAGCCTCTGCCCGTCTCCTCCCGGGTCACACTTCACACCGCGCGGGGCGGATCTGCCATCACCACTGCAACCGGGCTTGGCAGGGTGCCCTCTGTGCACCGGGGCCGCCCCACAGCAACCCCGGGATGGGACGGGAGCCCCACACCAACCCCGGGGGGAGCTGCCCGAACCCACCTGAGCCCAAGAGAGAGAAGCTGCTTCCTGCCCAGGACCCCAGCTCTCCTCACCTCCACCCCAAACTCTCACCTATGCAGATGTGAAAGCCCCAAGCAGCCCACCAGCTGCCCACCCCACTTCCTTCTCGGGGCAGTTTCACAGGCCATCACAGATTTGTCAAGATCCTTGCTGAGGCTTTGAAGGAAGCACTTGTGAACTTGCAGGGCTGATTAATTCTGACAGAACAGCTGCTCCAGGCCTTGGGGCCTCCAGCTTCACAGTCTGAGCCCCAAGCAGCACACCCAGAGTCGAGGCAGTTTAACAGCCAGGGGATCTGTGCCGCGAACATGGTACACACCTGTGATCCCGGCCACCCGGGAGGCTGAGGCAGGACACTGCTAAGTTCAAGCCCAGCCAGGGCAAATTGGAAGCTCTGTGTTTGAACCCCAAACCTCTCCAGCCTCAGTTTCTTCACCTGAAAAATGGGGATGAAGGAGCGAGCCCCTGTGACCCCTGGGAAAGCCTGGCCCTGGCAGCTGCTCGCACTCAGCTTCTGGAAGTGGGGCTCCATCTACGCCTCCTCTAACTGCCAGGGCGCGGGCAGAGCAGGGGCTGCTGTCCACCAAGGACAGCCCCCGGGCCCCGGGGACAGGATGCTTAGCTGGGGCCCTGTCCCACCTGGGAGAATGCAGCTGTATGCACTGACGAGTCCAACCCCGAACATGGTCAGCTGCCGCCTGCATTTTCAGGGTTGAGCCTAGCCCAGGATCGCTCCCCATTCGAAAGCCTCGTGAGCCTAAAAATACTTTTGCAACATGGCTCTGTCAGACCAGGCCCGCGTGGGGCCCCATCGCTATATTGTGTGTGTGCCCGCGCAGCTCTTCTGGGTGTCTGCTAGCACACCGAGCGCCACCAGGAAGGCACAGGCTGCCGCAACATGAAGGGGCCCAACCACAGGAGGAAAAGGCCCAGGAAGCCATTGCTGTATTTCTTCCCTTTCTCAGAGTGTGACCTTCCAACAGGTTTCCCTGCTGAGGGCCTCTCCTCCCAGGAAAGTTTCCAGGGACAGGGAGGGGAGCTGCACGCAAAGTAGGTGCTCAGTAAACACGTAGGGGCCATTTTCCTAGGTAAGCACTCTGCCAAGAGGTCAGGTGAGTTCAAGTTTGAAGTCCTCCCGAAGTACAGAAAATTGGGAACAAACATTATAGCTTTTTTTTTTTTAAATACTCAGATCGGGGGCCTTGTAAACTCACTCACTCAAAAGTAGTGTCTGGAAGTGGACTGTAAAAGCTCCCAGAAGTCCCGAGATGATTTTCAGAAAGACAGGTCTATACCAAACACAGTAAAAAACTCAGTTTTTGGTGGTTTCTTACCTTGTGGAGTTTTCCTTTCATTTTCTTAGTACATGTTGGCAATATGTAATGAATACATTTATTGTGGGGATTCGGCATAGTGTACGTGGAACCTTGGTCCTTTTTACTCTCCCTATTTCCTTTCCTCCCCTCTCCATCCTTAGATCCACTTTCCACATATAAAAAGCCTATTGCCCTGTGTCCTATCATCTTTTATTTTGCCCTTTAAGTTATTTGTACCTTTGGTTTCTCACAAAGGAGAAGCCATATGATACTTACGCTGTGTGTCTCATTTCTTTCACTTAGTCTTACGGTCACAAAGTGCATTCATTTTTCTACAAAGGGCTCAGTTCTATTCTTTTTATGGCAGAGTAGTATTCCACCCTTCCTCCATTTTTTGAAGAGGTGGGAATTGAACCCAGGGCCTGGAACACCCTTAGCAACTGTTCTACACTGAGTTGTGCCCCAGGCCCTGCTTCTTAAGCTTCTAAATGCACCTGACAAATCCTATTATCACATACGGAATCGCTGCAGGGCTTGGTTGTGTTTAAAGTGCCTTCTGTCCTCAAGGAAACTTCCTCATGGGCTCCTCCTAAACTCAGGGCACCTCTGCTGTCTGAGAGGAGGAAGCACCAGGAGCTGCACCCCACAATGTTGGTTGGGGGGACTGGAGCCTCAAAAACCCAGCAGCCTATCTGGTGATAGGCTATGAGGTGAACCATCACTGCAACCTGGCCAGTTTTCATAACGAACTTTCCCCGCCCAGAAGCGCTAGCCCAGAGCCTCCTGGACAGCAGCCCAGATGTGCTCAGGGCTCCGAGAGGCTGCACACCCAGCCCAGGGTCACTCAAGGAACCGCTGGCAGGAAAACCCTGGGAACCATGCAAGTTGCCCATGGCCGTGGGGCTGGATCGGGATTGGGCAGGGCAGATCCGGGAGGCTAGGAGGAGGGAGGAGGCAGCAGGAGGCCTTCCCTACCCGGCCAGTTTGCACAAGACACTGTTCATCACCTTTCTGCAGGTTGGGCCCAGGCTGTCTCTGTGCGTAGCTGATGCAAATCTCACTACTGCGTCTGGGACTTGGGGGACCAGGCAATGCAGGAGCGGGAATTATAAACACCCTAAAGGCAGGGAGACCTGAAGATATGGGTGATGCCCACGGCATCCTCATGAAAGGATCTCAGCACCGGGTTCAAGTCCCAGCTCCTCCACTTTCAAGCTGTGTGACTCAGGGGCCCCCACGTCTCTCTGAGCCTCACGTCCCTACTTGTCACATGAAGGAAGCAGGCGTTCCTACCACAGCTTCCGGTGGAGTTTTACAGGACTGACGAAACATGTTCCTGCTGCGCAGCACATGAAACAAGCTCAAAACCTAGCAGCCCATACCAGCAGGCAGGTCCTGGGAGCCAACCCCAGCAACCTGAGAGAAGCGTTTTTACAGGCTGGGCATCCTTCATCCAAAAATCTAAATTTTAAAATACCGCAAAATCTGAGGTTTTTAGAGAGCTGACATAATGCCTCAAGTGAAAAATTCTACACCGTGTAACCCAGTCTCATGCAGTAATTTAAAATAGTATATAACATCGAATTTTCTGTTATATAAAACATAGAGTTCACCTATGCACTTAACATGTATATGGAATATACATGAATTTCATGTTTAGACTTGGGCTGCATCCTCAAGATATCCTATTACACATACGCAAATAGTCTAGCATCCCCCCACCATCAAAACCTCAAACCCATGCACGAGCCATCCAGACAAGGACACTCCGCGGTGCTGACTGTGGGTCTCATGGACCCAGTACCCCACGATCTGGACGAGCTTCTCATCACTCCAGGCTGCTCGTTGGCTCAGCTGCCCCAGGAGCACCTTCCTCTCTAAGCCTGGCCCAGCACTCGCCCAGGGCTGACTGCTAGAGGCAGCAAAGGGCGCCCTGGACTCCGAGCTGCACAGGCTGGGATGGGGCACTGCAGCGAACTGTGGGGCTCTGGGGCAGGATGTCTTAGAGGAGCTGGGCCACAGTGAGGCCTCAGCAAGGCAGAGCCAGCATCTGCAGACCTCCACGGGCCTCCAGGAAAGATGGTGAACAAGAGCTCCAGGGTGCTGGGCATGGAGCCATCGAGGGCTGCTGAGCTGGGCCGGCTCATCGGGTCTTTTTTACTTTTCAGTACTGAGGACTGAACTCATAGCTTTTGCAACTGAGCTACATCCCAGCCCTTTATTTTTTATGTGTTTTTTGAGACATGGTTTGCTAAGCTACTAGCAAGCCCAGGATGGACTCGAACTCGCAACCCTTTTGCCTTGGCCTCCCAGAGTGCTGGGATCACAGGTGTGTGGCACCACACCCAGAGTCACCAGGCTTGTCCAGAGGGAGGGATAAGCAACGCCTACAGTGGTCCTGGGGCTGTCTGTGCACAAAAGGGACAGACAGGACCGGTGTCAGGAGGGCAGGGCCACCGGCTCACGTTTCCAAGCCCCAGCCTGATGAGGAGCAGTGAGAGGCTCCGCAGCAGGGAGGCCTGCTGTGCTCAGTGACTTCAGCACTGTGAGGCCCCACCCGGGGCCTGCTGGGGCAACTCCTGCAGTAAGCAAGACCCCCAGTGCTCCCTGCACACACTCAACCCCCAATGGCCCATTTTGGGCCACTGGACCGCATGGACACCACCCTAACTGTGGAGGGGGGGCCTCCCCTGGCATCACAACCTCCTCACCCGGTCCCCAGGCCCCTCACACCCTCCAGGACCAGACAGCCTCTGCCCTGGCGAATGCCGCAGCCCATCTGCCCAGCCCATAGTCACCCTACATGCATCCACTGTCCCTCCTCCTCAACTAAATCTCATGTGATCAGGTTCACTTTACAAACAAGAAAACAGCCTCAAAAAAACAAAGCCGCACAGCTGATGTCATGGAGGATTCAAATACAGGTCTGTCCCTAAGGCTGGGGTTTGCCTCTGCATTGCTCACAGCTGAAGAACTAAGTGCAGGTGGAATTGGAACCCAAACCCTCTCTCCAGCCAAAGGTGGATATGACCCCAGCCCCACACGGTTACAGCACAAGGGAAAAAAGCCAATTTGCATTTCAGGTCCCCAGCCATGGCGATTGGCTCAGCTCAGGCACATGACCCCATCAGAACCAATGGAAAGCCAGGTAACCAAGGCGGCTCAGGCTCTCCGTCCTCCACTGGGCATAGTGAACGCGCTGTGTGACACTGAGGGTGTAGGTCCTGATTGTCTTTCCTCCTATATTAGATAATTAGTCCAGAGGCCACAAGCAACAGCCTTGAGCCCATCAGAATCTGAGCTCTTGAAACTGACGTTCTGGGTACCCTAGGTTATAGTATGCCTTTGTTTACGCAAACTAAGGCAAGTGGCTACCTACCTGCCTGTTTGCATGAGTCAGCTTACGAAGGAGGAGGAAGCTTTCCTGAACCCTTGAAAGGTTTGTCTTCAAGTCCCAGGTCCCATCACCTTGAGACCCTGAGTATGTATTCTAGGACGCTACATCCTAGAAAATGTACGGCAGACATCTGTTCGCTTGGCGTTGGAAACTCTGCTTGCTGCCGTTCCGCTTGCAGCTTCCTGCGACGCTTTTGATAATCAGTTGGTGGCAAAGATTCCTCACCAACTAGTTCTATGTAACGCAGCTAGCACGAGACAGAACACAGTTCAAGGTGCTCATCCCTGAAAAAGGTCTGCTTCCGTAGATATCTAAACACTTAGCTTTTAAATGGGGCTGCACCACGCCCGACAGGACGCTGGCCTTTAGCAGCAGTTGCTCGCGGCCGCCGTCCCACACAAGGCAGGCAGGGGAGGCCGGGGCGATGGCTGGCTCCCCCACCACACCCCCGCACCGTCTTCACTCCCATTCCAAACCCTGATCCCAACAGAAACAGATGTGGCTCGTTCCCTCCTACTCGGGCACATCCTGTCTCTGAAGGAATCAGAACTAAAGCAACTGAGGGCAATGTCGGGACTGTTCCAGAGCCATACAATGTTCGGGAAAGGAGCTAAACAGCAAGAAAAACCCCAAGAGCCAGAGACCTGTGTGGCGCCCATCTTACCGGATGGTGGGCTGGTCTCCACTCAGCTGCTTGAACCTTCGGTGAAGCTGCTCGATCTGGTCAGAAGAGACTGGGAACAGGGAAAGAAGAGAGAAACACATCACTGAGCGCTGACCGCAGGCGCCATCCTGCCCTCTCCTCGCCTGGCCGCTGTGATCCTTCCCGGAAGATCTGCCATGGGGGCCACACCGGCCACTGGACAAGGAAACAAGGAAGCAAAGGGATCTCCCCTCCTGCTGCGGATCCCACCGTCACCAACAACAGCTCCCGGGACAGTGACCAAGGCCACCCTCCCAGCCCCCGTCCCTCCCCAGCCCAGTAACCTGTGCAGCCTGCCTGACTTCTGGGGAGGACGGGGTTTGCATCACGCATCACGGGTGAGCAGGGGAAGGGGAAGGCTGGTGTGGGAGGTAGCTGGGTCCTGACAGGAGAGCACAGGGGGCGCGGCCCAGGGAGGCAAAGGCTGGAGGACTCTGTTTATCACCGCCCCTTGTTATTCTCACTCTTGGCCTGTTTCCTCCCCAGAGCCACCTTGGAGAAGGTGCTGCCTGGGTTCCTTCCACGTGCTGACGGCTCATCTGAAGATATGCCCGATACCACTTCTCCATGTTTCTCACCTCACCTGCCAACCGCCTGATAAGGGAGGAGACGCTGTTATCTTGGCTTTATCATTTGCAAACTGCAACTTGCAGAGGGCTGAAGACCACACGAGCAGCAAGTGGTCGAACTGGGGGGCTCCAGGGCCCACGTCCAGCTCAGGGAAGGCTTTGGAAAGCAGGAGCTATGCTGGGACTGCTGCCCCTTCAATGCTTCAGTAACCCCAGCCCTGCAACCGCACCCTCCTACAACAGCAGCAGTGCGTTTCTGGGCCAAATGGTCACCTTCCTTCCTGCTTGGGCTCACAGTGTGATCTCCTCAAGAATCTCCAGCTCAGAACTAGCAGCTGCTGTCTGCTAGGAAATACTCATTACGGCTGCCAGCCCGGGCTGGGCACCTCTCCACATATTAGCTCATCTCCTCCTCACGACAGCCTGGCAGGGGCTGGATCCCTGTGGTGACCAGCAGAGGTTGACGTCTATAGCCCTGAAGGAAAATATGGCCATTTATCTCACAGGTCCGTCACTCAGGACAATGGCCCACTTGATAGCTCCACAGACCCATCCCCAGTAGGTCTCTCACAGAAATGTGCACCCATACTCTCCCACAGATGCTCTGAAGCACCCCAGACTGGAAACTAACCCCATGCCCATCAGTGGCAGAACAGTTAACATGCTAACGGTGATATGGTCAAACAATGGAAAAGTATACAACAATGAAAATGAACACAGGACAACAAAAGAAACCAGACGTTTATGATTTTATCTGCATAAAGCTCAAACCCAGCCAAATTCACTTAAAGCATTAGAAGAACAGGGGCTGCCCTTCAAGAAGACAGTAATTTGAGAGAAAAGGAGGGCTTTGGGGGCTTGGAATGCTCTATTTCCTGGTCTGGGCACAGGTGACACAAATGTGTTTTTGGAAAAGTGACACGCTTTCCTGTATGTATGCTAGATCATCTTTAAAACACCTCCTGAAAAATTCAGTAATTTTACCTGGTGGGAATGTATCCTGAAAAAAAATGAACTCAACTCAGTAATTCTACCTGGTAGGAATCCATCCTACCTAGAATGAATTCAGAAGGTACAAAAGAAGATGGATACATAAACACGATCCCCTTTTCATCCCTTATTCAAGTTGAGTACCCCTTATCCAAATGCTTGGGATAGGAAGTGTTTCAGATTTGGGATTTTTTCAAATTTTGGAAATTTGTATCAAATAAGGAAGTATCTTGGAAATGGGATCCAAATATAAACATGAAATTCATGTATGTTTCATATATACTATATGCATACGTATCTTAAAGATGACTTTATACAATATTCCTTTTTTGCTGTTTTTGGGGGTTTTTGTTTGTTTGCTTTTTTGAGACAGAGTCTCACTGTGTAGTCCCGGCTGGCCTCAAACTCAGAGCAATCCTCTTGCCTCAGCCTCCTGAGTGCTAGACTTACAGGCATGTGCTACCACGCCTGGCTTATACAATATTCTTAATTTGTGCACGAAATGAAGTTAGTGTATACTGAACACTCAGGCTTGTGGCACTGTGTCAACACTCACTGTTTTAGATTTTGGAGCATTTTGGATTCTCACATTAAGGGACACTCAACCTGTAATAGCTTAAAATTCTATTCAACCTAAATGCCCGTCAAAAGCACACAGGTTAAATGCTTCATAATATATTCAGCCAACTTTTATTAAAACGACGCTGTCTTTATTAGTGATAATTCTGAGCCAGGAGCAGTGGTGCCTGGAGTGCCAGCTACCCAGCAGGCTGAGGCAGGAGGGTGGCTTGAGCCCAGGAGTTCAAGGCCAGCCTAGGCAAGTGTGAGCCTGCGTCTCACAACCCACAAAGCAACAATTAAGGATTTGACTCAGAAGCAGAGTCCAAATATAATGTCTGAAAACAGCTTGCTATCAAAGCAGCATGAGGCCATGTTGGGAGAAAATATATAAATATATACAAATGTATACAGTGATTTAAAAAGCATACTTGGTTTCCTCTAAATGGCAGCAATTAACTCTCATCCAGTATCAGGATTAAAGACTGTTTTGCTTTTCTTCCCTCAGGGTTGCAGACTGAACCAAGGGCCACACACCTGCTAGGTGAACAGCGGGTGCCGAGCTATGTCCCAAGCTCTTGTCTCTGAGGCACAGTCTCACAAAGGCCGGGCCCAGGCTGGGCTCTGACTTATGACCCTCCCACCCCAGCGGTCTGAGCGGCCTTCATTGCAGGCCTGCGCCACTGCACCTGGATTTGTTTGGCTTTTGAGTCACCTCTATTTTCCAGTTTTTCTCTACAAATGGCGATGTATTGGCCATGTAACATTTGTCAGCACACAGCAAAGTCTGGGAGGGACAGCTGAGGGATCTCAAAGCACACCGCCGTGACAGGACGGGTTGCCCTAGGCTAAGCCCGCTCACGGGCTCCTGTGGAGTCCTCTCTGTACACGGGCAAGCTCTTCCCAGGTGGCAGAGGAGCAGGCCCCGGCCCAGGGGCTCAGGAACCTGCTCACAGCCATTGAACAGGGCAGAGCTGGACCCACAATAGGAACTCAGTGAGGCAGGAAGAAAAGTGTGTGTGTGTGTGTGTGTGTGTGTGTGTGCGTGTGTTACTGTTGTTTTTCTTTGCTCTGCTGTTTTGTTTTTGCAGTGCTGGGCACCTTCACACTGAGCCACAGGCTGGGCTCAGGGTGGACCCTCCTCCCTCACCCCCAGCCTGAGCCCACTGCTTCGGCCTTGTGTCCGCTTTCGTTTTTCCTGCCACCCCACGCTGCCTCCCTTGATGCGATCACAGCAAGTTCCTGGCCCTGATTCAGACGCGATGAGAAACAGTAATCAGAAACGGCCCAGACACATGCATCTAAGCAACCACTGTCAAACACGATCACGAGTGAGGGCGGCCAGGCACAAACACCACGAAGATGGGAGCCTGCTTGCCGAGATGTCCAGATATTCACGTGTGTGCAGAGACAGCGAACCAGAGAGCCTGGAGCTGGGGGAAGAGAATAGGAGACACCTCGGGGGAGGGGAGGGTGCTCTCACCTTGGATTCTGTTGTTCATGGAACAACCCTCTGTTATATTACAAACTATGGAGTATGCTTTCAATAGATATTTTTTCATGGTAGGTGAATTATGGGTCAATAAATCCTTTTAAAAGCCAAATACAGTGGCTTGCACCTGTAATCGCAACTACTTGGAGGCAGGAGAATCATGAGTTCAAGACCAGCCTTGGGCAACTCAGGAAGACCTCATCTCAACAATAAATACACAAGTGGCGCACATCCTGAGGATCTGTGCCCCACGCTCTGGGCTTGGCTCAGATTGTTGAGAAACTGACTCACATAACCCACTCAGCAACCCTCCCAAGTGCATATAGCCTTTACCCTGTTTCGAGAGATGAGAACACACAGGTAAGAAGAGGTGGACAGATCATCACAGATCAGGTTTGCCTTTTTTTTTCTTGGCAGGGGTAGGGGCCTATGTAGTTCAGGCTGGCCTTGATCTCATTATTGTAGCAAAGCTGGTAGCAAACTTGTGGAGATTCTCCTGCCTCAGCCTCCTGGGTGCTAAGAACACAGATGTGCCCCACCACCTGGCTAGACCAGTTTTGCATAATGAAGCGTTTCCAGCTCACTGTACCCAGAGTTCATGTGTGCACACCCACCCTCTGTCCTGCCTGATCTAATGCGGAGGGTCAGGAAGGCAGTCTTCCTCCTCCGAGTCCCCTTCTTTTGGCACCCAGATTTCCAGAGCCAAGCGCTCAGCCTCTGGCTTAGGTGAGTGAGTACAGCAAGAGGCTTCTCAAGCTTCCGTGACCTTCAGCATTCCCCAGAGGCCCCTCAGTGTCTGCTCAGCTTACTTCAGCTGGGTTCCCCTCCACTTGTGCAAAACCACCCTCACCACCCCCGTGGCCCCAACCCGCTGACCAAGCCCCGCCCTCCCCTCCCAGCCTAACCCTGCCACCGCAGGTCCACACACAAGCGCCTGACCCAAGTCTGTGACGCAGACCCCTCCCAGGGCTTCTGGAGTGCAGTACTTCCGTCCCCACACCCTGTCCTTCCCAAGGTCCCCCAAGGTCTAGATGCTATGGGTGTGGTGGACAGGCAGGATGCCTCTGCAAGCTGCAGCTCAGACCTGCTCAGCTCAGGGTCCTGACTTCAGGTGAAGGGCAGGGCACTGCTCCTCCACGTGGCCAGCGGCAGTTTGGTGGGGGTGGCGTGGATATGACGGTCACCTGGTATCAAAAGCATCCGCAGAAAATAAACGAGCACTGTCCAGTACGACAGCCACCAGCCACGTGTGGTCTCTCAGCCCTCCAAAGGTGGCTGAATTATGAAGTGGTTCTCAAGGGCTTACTACAAAAAGGGACACAAATGTCCTGATAATGCCAAGCATGGAGGCACTTGCCTATAGTCCCAGAACTCTAGGAGGCTGAGGCAGGAGGATTGCCAAGTTCGAGCACAGCTGAGCCA